TCAGGGAGCGCTTCAAGGAAAGTTGTGAGGAGGCTGCAGGGAAGAAGCAAGCAGAGTAGAACTGGAAATGATTATGTGTAGAGAAGGGAGCGGGTGATTCTAGGAGTAAGATTTATTCCCTGCACATTGTATGTGTCTCCTGGCTTCAAAGATTTCACCGTTGCCAGAAAGTCCCGAGTTAACAATAATTGGGCCCTTCGGCTTTCTGCTGTTGACGGTAAATAGAGAGCTGTCATTCGGGTTCTTACGTACACGATGGTTTCCCTTGCTCAGTGAAGCAGCCAGCTTGTTTCCCAGGCAGGGTCAGAAAGGCGTTGGCATGATGTCTTAGCCCTCTCGGCAGCCTCTGTTCCTACTGATGATGTAGTTGATCTCGGTTTTACTTCGCTCGGGCATCTTGTGCTTGGGATGATACAGGTTTCAAACTTGACTGCTCCTGTCTTCTGCTGGGGTGTGTGTAAAGCTGCTGGGTGAAGCTCACAGACTAATTGGGTGCTGGTGTGCGAACAGCACCGCCTGTCAGGTTGATAAATGTATTATTCTGCTGTCCACTCCCACCTGCTATGTCATCTTTGAACCACAGAATCTTTAGGTTGGAAGAGATCTTTAAGATCATCAAGTCCAACACTGGACTTCACCCAACACTGCCAAGTCCACCTCTAATTCATGTCCCTGAGCACCTCGTCCGCACATCACGAATCCCTCCGGGGTGGTGACTCCACCACTTCCCTGGGCAGCCCGCTCCCATCCCTGACAGCCCTTTCCAGGAACACATTTTCTCTAATATCCAACCCAAACCTCCCCCGGCACAACTTGAGGCTGTTTCTAGTACCAGGTTAAGCCTTTTGAAGCAGAATTGTCCTTGTACGTGGCGGTGTGTAGGCAAGAGAGGCTGGTTCTTGCTCACGTTGGGGTTGGGCTGGGACAAGAAGCCACAACCTCACTGAAAATACTAATCATGGGATGGAGGCTGCACACACCTCTCGTTGCTCTTCTTCACTCAGATTTCTCCTGTTTCTGGGTGCTTCTGTGCTTGACTAAAACTCTCATTTAGAAGGGATCGACTGACTGCAAGGATGGACGTGGCGTTGTGCCAAAGGGGCTGGCTAGAAGAGGGGCTCCTGGCTCAGCGGGGTCATTCTAGATCCCTAACACTTTTATACATCATCCCTAGTGTTTTCTGTGTTATTGGTGCGCAGTGTTTTCTTTTTAAGAAAAACTCCTTTTTAAGTTGGCATCCATACTGAATGCCCCTTGCTTGTTCATTTGTTTTTTTTAATTTTTTAATGGTTTATTCACAGATAAACTCAAAGTCAACTCTGTGCCTGAGCAGCCAAAGGAGGAGAAAGAAGTCGTCAAGCCTTCAGTTCCTGTAGCAGAACCAGAGTCATCCCCTAGTACTGTAGCAGAGAAACCTGGGAAGAAGACAGAACCTGCTAGAAGTCAACAAAAGGACAAAAGAAGGTGAGCCACACTATTCAGGGTCCCTGTAATCTGTTAACCCGCTTGTTGATGGCCTGCATGGAGCTGGCTTGTCATACAACGCTGGCTCACCTCCTCTTTCCAACTACTAAATTGCATTAAGCCTGGCTAAAATTATCTCTCTTGGAATTCTTTCCTAATATTTCTTTTCCATTTAGTGCTGTAGATGCCTCGGGGCCATTTGTGCCGTTGCAAATGGGAAGGGACACGATCCAGATTGTCTTCAAGTGGGGAGGGGGTGGCTTTCCATGAGCCAACCTCACACTGTGAGCAGATTTAGTATAGACCCCGCAGGCAATCTGGGGGGGCTGGCAGGAGCACCTGTACTGCAGGGAAGGTAGTATATTCCCAAGCTTATATGTACACAGCTTCCAGCACACAAAGTTCTGCTTGTTGATCTCCATAGCTAATGTACTGCTGCTTTCAATGCCGCTGGTTTACTTTGGGCTGAGGCTCCAAGTAAATTTTAAGTTCAGCCCTTTGTGTTTAATCCAACCCAAACTGACAGAGACAAAAAATCATTACAGCCTGATGGCTCTCTGGTGGCCTATGAGTAATTAATTGGTGGTCTCAATTTGTTTCTAACTAAATAGGTAAGCACACCGCCCAGCCCACCATCGCAGTTAGTGCTAACTGGTCTTCTTATTGAGAGTCTTAGTCAAAAAGCCAAAGGCCTGGAAACTGCATGTTGGCAGTGCGGTGTTGGGAAGGCCACTTGAGCTGTACCAGCTCGGATGAGGATACGTGGGCCTTTAGCCTCCAGGCTTGTTAGTCTGACATGTCTCGCCAACATTAAAAAGAAAGAAGCTATTTTATTTTTCCAGTAGTCTTTAAAAATGGCTCCAGGATTCTGAGACACTACCTCATAGTCAGTCAGTGGCGAGCACTCTGTCAAAAGAGCTTCTGAGCGATGCTGTTGGGGACGTGAGTGTTTGGGAGCCTGAGCTATAGAGGCAAGATCAGAAACGCGTTCTTGCCAGGTTGCTGTGGCCAAGTTAGGGGAGGTGCTGGGCAAAAACGTTCAACGGTGGAGGGGCTAAAGAAAATCCTCCTTGTTTTGGAGAACTGGGTTTGGGTAAGGATGAGAGGCTTGAAAATGCACGTGCGCCTATGCCCAATTGTGGAGGTGAGTATACCTCAGCGTTTGTCATGCTCCTGATGTTAAGGGGTAGGGAGGTGTTTGATTTCGTCGCTAGCGGTGTTTCTGTCGGGAATGTGCTTGTCTAAGCATGCCTGATGCTTTCAAGGGATAACACGTGCTCATTCCTTCTTTTCTTTGTGTGGCAGTAAAATGAAGAGGGTGGACAAGTCGGATGATGAGGAAGAAAGAGAGCCTGGAAATCTGAAGAAAAAGAGGAAGCGGATCAAACAACTTCAGTCTGACAGCAGTGATGAGGAAGGTAAAAAGATATGTAAACAACCAGGCATGTAGGTCAGGGGCCTGATTTCAACAAGATTGTTCTCCAAGGCTGTTGGTCAAGGATTGAGGGGATAGTTTAGGGGACTAAAGACCGTGCGAATGGCTGGAGCTTGAGCTTTCTGTTTATTTTGTGCTGCAAGCACTTGGGCATACAGTTGAGATGCCGCAGTCATTCAGTCGTTGTTTCAGCTTAGCTGAGGTCTGGCTGTCTCCTCACCAAGTGTGCTGCCAGTCACACTGACACGTGGGAAGGAGGTTCTCCAGTCTCTTGTGAAAGATAGCATGCCTTCCAGAATTGTAGGACTGGTCATAACTGGTTTATGTGGTAAGTAAACACCCGCAAAGTGACCTCCCCCTCTTCCCAGGGTCATTTTTAGTATCTTTATTCTGTCTGTTTATAGAAAAGGCTTGGAAGACAGTGTTGGAAGCAAGACTTCCAAAAAAAAAAAAAAAGCCCACCCAGATAATAGAGAAACTGGAGGGAAAACAGTTGAGCGATATCCGATGCGCCTCTTCGTCTCCTCGGGACTCTTGGCTTTGGTAGGAGTAGGGTGCCCAGAACGTCACAAGATTTGGGCTTATAATGAGGAACAGCAGGGCCGGATTCCAAAGAATTTGGATAATTGAGGTGACAAATGCCGTTCAATACAGATAACTGGAAAATAAGTTGGGATCGAGCTAGGGAGTATGTGCTAAATGGAACAGTTATCCAACATGCTGATTGGGAAAAGAATTCGGGGGTCATTATGGACAAATAATTGAAACCACCAGTTTGGTGTACAGCTCCAGTAAAAAAAAAAAGGTGAAACAGCAAATAGGTTGTATTAATGAAGAGATGGAGCTGAAGTTGTTTGCTTGTTTAGTGTAGCTGGCACACGAGAAATGACTAGTGTCTCTAATACAAGCTAGAGAGGCAAATGCTGTTGGATGTCTGAGCGGTCTTCATGCCACCTTAGGCCCATTCGCATGGTTTCTCGCCTGCCCAGCATAATTTCAAGTGATCTTTGTCATCAGGCATCCATCACTTTGACTCAGACTATTCCACAGGATGATAAATCTCTCAGGAAGCTGTTCTTCATGATCAGCCTTAATTTCATCACATTCCTGTCTGCAGCTCCTTGTTTGGCCATAAAAAAAAATATATGCCTACACTCTTTGGTATTTATTTCTTTAAATGTTTGTAAGCTATTATCTGGTCTTTCCGTTGACTCATCACTCAGCCTGCTGACAAGCTGCGTCGTCGAGCTCTGAAGAGGGAAGGTTGAAATCAGCCTGCTTAGCCCCTTCAAGCGCTGCTCCTTGCTGGGCCAGAATCTCTCAGCTCGTCCATTCTCCGCTAGCGAGAGCAGGCAGAAATGAGCCCCGTGTTTCAGGCACGTGGTAGGGCTGCTCTTGGAATCATGGAATTGTAGAATGGCTTGGGTGGGAAGGGGCCTTAAAG